CATTCTTAAATCCTTGAATAGTTTATCCTAGCAGTCAGCTCCGGTCTAAGCATGCTCTACGTAGGGGACTGAAGAGAAGTGAATGATCTATATGCTATATTCTTATTATAAACTACAACCCCGGGATAGGTGACCCTCACAAAGTCATTTAACTCAACAAAAGTTGTATGTTGAAAAATAAAGCAAAAGTAAAAGCAAAAGAAGAAGAAAAAGAAAAAGGGAAAAAATTGTACCCATCTTTAGTTGGTTCAGAGGTATCTGGGGCTGAACTTGGTAGGGCGGATTATGATCCGATCCCCCGCAACTATAAATGGGTCAATAAAAGGGGTTACACCAATTTTTTGTACCAGAGCCCTGCGTTTTATGATCAGAATCACTACCCGGACACTTTACTATGAGCATGTACAAATAACGGGCTTAATGTGATTACGCCTGAATGAAAAAAGATTTGAAAAAAGGAAAAATATAGACCTAAGCATAGTGTCATGATATGGATTGGTTCGTAAAAGAATGAAGCTTATGTCCGTTTTACGGAAGAGTGTCACTATGATATCCTTGGTTTGAATCAGTCAGTACCTATCAATACATCCCTGTTTTAATTCCAGAGGCCCCTTGCAGCCCAACTTGTTCACTAACACCGTTTTTCTTCTTAAATCTATTTAGAGTTTTTGCTTGAGGACAAGCAAAGGTTTAAGTGTGGGAGAATTTGATAACACTTACTTTACACTTATTTTTTACTCTGATTTCACATGTTATTTAGGTTTTTTATTATTGTTTTCTCGTATTATGCCTATCTTTTGTTTCCTTTTCAGGTATTTCAATTATCCAGAGCTCCCCTGAAGAAATAAAGGAAAACAGGCTGAAAAACAGGAGTTTAGGTCAATTTTGCACTCATGGTGCCCACCATGGCGCCAGCCATAGGGTACGCCATGACGTGGACCACCTCCTGCTGACCTCAACTACCACGTTCCCCACTTCCTATCATTGACACTCATGGCGGGCACCATGGACTCCATGGCGAGCGCCACGTTTGGACGATGTTTTCCCCCCAAAAGGAGTTGGGGGGCATTCCTGTGATTTCATGCATTCTTCATCCTCTATAAATAGAATTTCCTGAGTTCATTTGAATTCACCCAAGCTTAGTTGCAAACTTGATCCAACCATAGTTGCGAACTTAAGTCATATAATTTCACCATTGTAAAGCGATAATTCTTCACATCGGGGAATTATTGCACTGTTGATTGAGTTTGTGATCGAGTTCGTAGATTAAGTCTGTAATCGGGTTTGGATCACTTTGGCAGAAGTTTATCTTGCTACATTTATTTTCAACTACTGTTTATTTCCAGTCGCATTTTACTTCCAATTTGTACCAGATTTAAAACCTCCCTGTTTGGAGCAAGTTTCTATTTATATATTCCGCACTGCTTTTACTTTGTTTATTTTCTGCACCTGCTTTTACTTTTTTTATTTCCCGCACCTGCTTTTACTTTGTTTATTTTCCGCACCTGCTTTTACTTTGTTTATTTTCCGCACTGCCTTTACTTTGTTTATTTCCTGCACCACACTTATTTACTTTCTCGCATGATTTATTTTAACATGTCTGCTTACATTCCCATGTCGGGTTGAACCTTACTGGGCTAAAATGTAAGGAATCTAGTTAGATCGATATTCCAAATAATGTGTCAATAGAAATTCTTATGGGCTATTTTAGTTTTTAATACGAGTTTTTTGTACTTTATTGTTGTTGGGTAAGATCGAAAGTTGTCCAACCCTTTGTTAAACTCGGTTAGTTATAACTGGTCAAAGAAAGCGAAAGCGCTTTGTCCGGTTAGTTAGGGATTTTTATTATCAAAGAAATTAATTTTGAAACTATTTTCGGACACGTTTATAGGGTTAAAGTTAGGTCCCCTTTTTATAGAAATTCCAGATCAAAAATACTTTTCAACTTGGTCAAGTACTTTATTTCTTAAAAATAGGTTTATTACTTTAACGCAGTGCGCGCCTTTTTATAAGTGATGATAAGAAGGTCTGATTAGAGAGTAAATTCAGTTCTGATTACGCGAAAGCGACAGTTCCTGTTAAATTAGTTCTTTTCTTTAGTAAAAAATATTGCCCTATAAGTAGTTCTATTCCGAAGCATTGCGAATATCATCTGACTATGTGAACTACATTCGACCCTGCTTTTATATCTGAAGTTTATTTCGCCGCACTTTACTTTCTTGCATGCCCAATTCCCTGTTTGATATTGACTTAGCTAAACACTGTAACAATAGGAAACGATAGATTGACGATTGGTCTCTGTGGATCGATAATCTTTTATATTACTCTGACGCGATTCGTACACTTGCGAATATACCGCATCAGTAATCATTTGAGGTGAGTCTTCCTGAAACTCTCTTTTAGTCATGTCCTATCTTCCAATAGCCATAATACGGTGACATATTGACAATATATCAACGACATGGCCTTCCCTTGTATGTTTCCCTTTCAATATCTCCTGATGAGTTGGCCTAGAGGGATCTCCTTCTGTATTTGGTGGCATGTAAGAAAGTGATATTTTATAAAATTATTGGCTGTAATCGTATATCATACTCCATAGACAAGGAGTTGACATACTACGTACATCTTCTAGCATAAAATGCTCATCGTAATCCACAAATGTCCAATTAACATCTCTACAAATGACATTGGCATGACCAACAATTATGAGATTCCTAGATATACTTTGCATATAAGCAAATTGTCACAGTACTTGCTCAAATATATATGAATACATAAGTCGAGACCCACAAGTCAATCATCCAGAGCACTGGGATATCACCTTCGAAGATCGTGTCTAATGGTGCTCATCGTACGACGTGAAGCATGTGTCATCCGACACGATGCGATCAACTGTAGTTCAAAATGGCTCGATCACCTAATTCTCCCTGAGTGGGTAAAAGAATCGGCACACGACAGTTCCTCGGATCAATTTTCAACATATTCCTAATTAGAGAGACTTGGAAAATATTGGTGGATTCATGTCTGACAATATTTCAATTGAAATATGAGTAACGATGTAGCACGTGTATTATGAAATCAATATCAAGAAGGGTGGAAAAATTATTGTAAATAAACCTTTGTTTCAAGTCAATTGTCTCATATTTTATTGACTACCTTCAGCTAACTTAGAGTAGAGGTACACCAAACAAGACGTCCTCCAGTTGTACTTGTGAATCCTCTCTAAGTTAATGAAATATTTAATATACACAATGTCAACATAGATTGTACTTTTGTCAACAAAAATATTTGTGTCAGCCAAAATTATGGAGTATAACCTCAATGCACATACTATATGGATATGTAATTCGTGTTTCACCGCCAACAACATCCACAACTGCATTTAGATGATTAACATAATTTTTCACGAGAAAAGAAAATATGGCATGACATCATAGCGTCATTTATCTCGTGTTGTGTATCATCCGGTTCAGCTCTTAAATATGTCATCACTAGAACAAAAACAAAAATAGAGCATGTATTACTAACCATGAGTTCAAAAATTTAAAATATCAAACTAAATTTAATTAAGACAAAATAAATACGACATTTATCGCATGTAATTTAATGTAGCATAATTATAATCTATTTTGAAAATGTTTGTATCACAAATAAAAAAATGATAAATGAAAAACTTACCTAATGTAAAAGATGAATGATCTTGACTTAAATGTAGTATATTAGAACTTGAAAAATGTGCTAAAATTGAATGCAGAGAAGTAGAAGTTGTGAGAAATATTAAAAAATGTTGGAATAGAAATAGGTAGTGGTGAGCTCTCTTTTCACTTGTGTTCAAATTTGACGAAATGAAAGAGATTGAAGAGGAAAATGTTTGAGCATAAATAATAAAATGAAAGTATCTAGAGATTGAAATTTGGACAAACCCTTCAATGTTTTTTTGTAGTTCTAAGCTTGGGTTTTTGTATGGTATGCTGAGGCACGTTTTTCGTAGTTCTAAGTTTAGGTTTTTGTATGATATGCTAAGGTGCATTTAGATTTTAATATTTGTAAGTTTTTAAACTAGATTTTAATATTCTGACCTATTTTTAACTTAGATTTGTTTGAGAGAAATTGTTGTATATTTGATACGTCTGGAAATTGGAATTCGAATTTTAAGACCGGAGATTGAAATCCTGTGCTTTTAAAATTTCATCAGGATGTGAGTAAGACATAAAGTGTAATAAATACTACCTTTAATTTAGTCATTAATAAGACACATCCGCTCTAGTTTCTTAAAAACTAGAATTCCCTTCTACTTAGTGTTCACTAGGCAACGTTAGAGACAAAACAATTTATCCTTGTTTCTGCATTTTTAAAATGAACGATGTTTCAAGTGCTTTTCTTTTATTTCCTAAGCAACTGGCATTGTTCCCCATAATTTAAATCAGCAGGAGGCATGCTCCTTGAAGAAATGAATTTTCACTTCAAAATACGCTAAAAAAGTGTTTTGGATATGCTAAAAGAAAGAATATTTATGAAAGGTTTAGAGCTGAGTACATGACAATGAAAGTGAAAAGCATGGAAATGCATATAGCATGGAAGAATTATAGAAGCGCTGCGGTGTTTATACAGAAAGCTTCTCTTGCATACCAATCGCTGTAAGTTTGCTAACATGTAACAAAATCTAACTTGATTGGTTTAAAATGTTTTAGGTTAAGTTTCTTGTATAAATTATATAATTAACATTGACGTGATTTTCCAAAATAAGTTTTGGCTCAGGAATCAATTGGCTTTCTGAATCAAACAAGCCTGGTGCTTAATCAGCTATTTATCATTGTTATTTCCATGTAATTTAGGACTGTTACCTATCCACTACTTATCCAGCAGAGATACAGGGGAAAACCTACATCTCGACAGTGTTGAAACTTGGAAAGATATACAACATACAAATTTGTGAACTCTAAAAAACAACAAACAAAAAACATATTCCGCCAAGAAAATCCCACAAAAGGTTTGCTTGGCTAACTTCCTTGTTTGGCACTCTTCTTTCCTTTCTTTTGTTTTTGCTTTAATTGAGTAAGTCCAGCTGCAGTTATCTTCACATTTCCAACAATTGAAGCAACTAATTCAGGATCGGTACAGGCTTTCATCAACTCCTTCTCCCGATTTGTTGCTTCTGATATGTGGCTGAATAAATTCATTGCAGTTTTTGCAGCTGTACAATCAACAGGAAGAACAATGTTATGGTAACATCTTGAAATAAGGTACCTGGGAATCAATTGATGCATAAACTATGGTAATGAAGATCATAAGAAACGCATAAACTATGGTAATGAAGAAAATGAGATACGGAAAGGATTCATTTTCATAAATAATGTAACTCATGGATTTCAAAAAAAGCTCGAGCTGGAAAATAGGTTTTAAGCAGAAACATAACCAATTGAGGATGTAAAGTTAAGTGTAAAATAATCAGAACCTTTCCCTTTCTTCACAGGTCCGGGTATTATCTTCACTCGATACTTGTAAGACTGAACTGCATTGTATGGACCACATACAGGAACAGCATATAAGAGAATGTCATTCGGGAGTGGAATCCCTGTCAAGTAATCCACGTCATTTAGCTTTTCTTTCTCTTCTTCTCCTATTTCATTAATATCATCTTCATCCATTGCCACTCTATCTTCTAAGGAAGTGTTTGAAGCACTCATGTTTGGATTTTCTTCAGCTTCACTGGTTGCATGACTGTGCAACAGATCATTTGATTGCTCCTTACAATCCCGAGATAAATGACCTAACTTCTTACACTTGTAGCATATTTTTGGAGCATCAATAGGACCTGCCACAATCAACATTATAAAACAATAAACAAGATAACGAATTTAAGAGTTGCATTAAGTGACACCTCAATATGCTACTGTCTAGTTTACGGTAAAGTTTATATATCTCAGTAATCAGGTAAAAGATACGAGTCAGCGACACATTGAGTTATAAACATACACACCACATAAAAGTGAATGAGCCAAGCTTGTAACTAACTACTAGAGTTTGGTTCATTAACAACAATTTTACCAAATAAACATTAGTTTTTAGTGAAAAATAATAATTTGGAAGTGTTACACATAATCAGAGGATGCAATAATTAAACAATCAACGCTACTTTGAAAAAAAAATGGCACTTATTTTGAAACCTTTATCTTTACAAGTATGACCCTTATTATGGGACAGAAAGGACAGAAGAAGTATAAAATATGCTAAAATATATCTTATATAGAATAATATGCATGTTCATGAACCTACCGTACCAAATTTCTGAGTCAGCTTAAGCTCAAATGCGCTCATTAGCCCAAATTATTCGAGTTTATTTATTTGAGCCAACTCTATTGATATTTGTAAATATAGTGTTAAGAATATTCGTATGTAGAATAGTCTCACATCGATTATATCATATAATTAGTTGTAATCTCTCTATATATAATAAAGTCTCCGTAGTACTTTCAAAACACACGGTTTAACCTAAATGTCTCTTAGTTTCTCCTAATTCAACATAGTATCTAGAGCCTACTAAGAGGCAATTCTTCGCCGTGCTTTACCCGGTTTATCCATTGTCTTCCGGTGACAAATTTTTATTTTATTTTTGCAAACTGTGTCATCACTCCGGTTTGCCTCTCACTTTCCAAAATTCTCTGGTAACCACTGGACTGCTGCCACCATCCGTCGCTACTAATTTTGGCGACCTTCCGACAAACTAACCCTACCGGCAAAAGCGCCTCCTTCGATTCAGCTAATCCTTACGATTTTTCCACCGCTGCACTCGCCATCGTACAATTTTTCCAAATCTGATACTCATGGCTACTCCTCAGAACTTTACGCCAAAGTACGATGAATGCCTCAAGTGGTATCAGAATTATCAGAACTCAGATTCTACTGCTTCGGTTGCACACACTGGTAATTCATTTGTTTGCTCCTCTCAATCATCTTCTCTTGGACCTTGGATCCTTGATTCTGGTGCGTCTGATCATGTTACTGGTAATAAAAATCTTTTCTCTTTCCTCTCTACCTCTGGATTTTTATCTACTATAACTTCTGTCAATAGTTCTCAAACCCAATCTAAAGGAATTGGTACCGTTCAAATTTTACCTTCTCTCTTTGTTACTTTTGTACTTTATGTACCTAATCGTCCATTTAATTTACTTTCAGTCAGTCGTTTAACTCGTTCTCTTAATTGTATTGTCACCTTCACTAATAGTAATGTCACTTAGCAGGATCGGAGTTCGGAACGGACAATTGGCGTCAAATGTGAGTCTCAAGGCCTTTATTACCTCTTAGTGTCATCTCAGACATGCTCAGCCAAAAATTCTCCACTCACAATCCATGCTCAGTTAGGTCATCCTAGTCTTCCCAAATTACAGAAGTTGGTGTCAAGTTTATCGAAAATATCTAATTTACATTGTGAGTCGTGCCAGTTAGGGAAACACACTCGTAGTCAATTTCCCAATCGAGTCAATAAACGAGCTTCGTCCCCTTTTGTTTTAGTTCACTCCGATGTTTGGGATCCCTCACGAACTATCTCTACTCTTGAGTCTAGATATTTTGTCACCTTTATTGATGATTTTTCATGTTCCATGTGGTTATTTTTAGTGAAAAATAAATCAGAATTATTTTCTATTTTTGAAAAAATTTATAAAAATAAAAACACAGTTTGGTGTGTGTATTCGTACCTTAAGAAGTGATAATGCTCGTGAATATTTATCCCAACAATTTCAAACTTTTATGTCCAGTAATGGTATTCTCGACCAAACATCTTGCCCTTATACACCTCAACAAAACGGAATAATCGAACGCAAAAATCGGCATCTTGTAGAAACCACTCGGACCCTACTTCTTCATGGTAATGTTCCACTTCGATTTTGGGGAGACGTTTTGCTAACGTCATGTTACCTTATAAATCGCATGCCATCATTTGTCCTTAACAATAAAATTCCTCATTCAATCTTTTTCCCCATTCCCCCCTTCACCCAATTCCTCCCCGAGTCTTCGGTTCTACATGTTTTGTATACAATCTCTCTCCTGGTCTTGATAAACTATCAGCTCGATCACTAAAGTGTGTTTTTCTTGATTATCATCGATCCCAAAAAGGTTATCGTTGCTATTCACATACCCTACAACGATACCTCATGTCGGCCGATGTCACCTTCGAGTCTATTCCATATTTCGAGTCCAGCCAAGTAACTCCGGAACTCCTTCAGGAGAGTATTCCCACACCTCTTCTGAAAGTCCCATATGTCACTATCCCACATCATTCTAGGGAATCTGGCCCACCAGATAACCCTACGGTTGCCACCCGACTTCTCGTCCACTTCAAACATATCATCGTCGTCAACCAACGTCTGTCGTACCTATCCCTGAGGTCGTACATGTCCTTGAGGTCATGCAAACTCTCCTCCGACGCTCTCGCCATCACCGGAATCGATCCTGCAACCTGAGTCCGATCTTCTGATTGCCCTTCGAAAAGGTATACGTCAAACATGAAATCTTTCTCCACATTATATTGATTTATGCTATCATCGTCTTTCTCCTTTACAGTGTATACTTATTTGTCTTCTTTATCTTTTATTTCTATTCCTAACACTCCAGGTGAAGCATTATGTCACCCTGAGTGGAGGCAAGCAATGATTGATGAAATGTGTGCTCTTCAAAGCACTAGTACATGGGAACTGGTTCCTCTACCCCCTGGAAAATCTTCAATAGGTTGTCGTTGGCTTTATACAGTGAAAGTTGGTCCAGATGATAAGATTGATTGATTTAAAGCTCGCTTGGTAGCCAAAGGATACACTCAGATTTTTGGGTTGGATTATAGTGATACATTCTCGTTTGTAGCCAAGATGGTATTTGTTAAACTTCTTCTAGACATTGCAGCCATTCGACATTGGCCTCTTCATCAATTTGACATCAAAAATGCATTTTTACATGGTGATCTTGAAGAGGAAGTATATATGGAGCAACCACCTGGGTTTGTTGCTCAAAGGGAGTCATCAAATATGGTTTGTAGGTTACACAGGTCTCTTTATGGTCTTAAGCAATCTCCGAGAGCTTGGTTTGGCAGATTCAGCACTGTAGTACAACAATTTGGTATGGACCGTAGTGAAGCTGACCATTTAGTCTTTTATCGTCACTCAGCCCAAGGGTGTATTTATCTTATTGTGTATGTAGATGATATTGTCATAACTGGTAGTGATGAGCAGGGAATACTACAGTTGAAACAACATTTCTCGAATCAATTTCAGACAAAAGATCTTGGTAAACTCTGATATTTCTTGGGTATTGAGGTAGCCCAATCTAAAGATGGTTTTGGTGATTTCTCAACGGAAATATGCTATGGATACTTTGGAAGAAACAGGTTTGTTGAACGCTAAACCAGTTGATATTTCTATGGATCCAAGTGTCAAACTACTACCCAGTCAGGTGAAGCCTCTATCAGATTCGGGAAGGTATAGGAGATTGGTAGGAAAGTTGAATTATCTCAAAATCACTCGTCCAGACATTTCTTTTGCAGCCAGTGTGGTAAGCCATTTCTTAAATTCCCCTTGTCAGAAACACATGGATGCAGTTATTCGAATTCTGAGATACATCAAATGTGCTCCAGGAAAAAGTTTAGTGTATGAAGATAAAGGACATACTCAGATAGTTGGATACTTCGATGCCGATTGGGCAGGGTCACCAATTGATAGACGATCCACCTCTGGGTATTGTGTACTTGCTGGAGGAAGCCTTATATTCTGGAAAAGTAAGAAACAAAATATAGTTGCAAGATCAAGCGTCGAGACAGAGTATAGAGTCATGGCAATGGCAACATGTGAACTTATTTGGTTAAAACAGCTGCTCAAAGAACTTCAAATTGAAGAAGCAAGACCAATGACAACATGTATGTGATAATCAAGTTGCATTGTACATTGTTTCAAATTCATTCTTCTATGAGAGGGCCAAACATATTGAGATAGACTGTCACTTTGTTAGAGAGAAGATTGAATTTGGCGAAATCGTCACAAGCTTTGTCAACTCTAATGATCAATTGGCAGATGTGTTAACAAAATCTCTGCGAAGTCCCAGAACTAATTATATATGTGGCAAGCTTGGTGCATTTGACTTATATCCTCCAGCTTGAGGGAGAGTGTTGATATTTATAAATGTATAGTGTTAAGAATATTTGTATGTAGAATAGTCCCACATCGATTATATCATGTAATTAGTTGTAATCTCTCTATATATAACAAAGTCTCTGTAGTGCTTTCAAAACACACGGTTTAACCTAAATATCTCTTAGTCTCTCCTAATTCAACAAAGCTCAATCTAAACAAATTGGTTCATATAAAATTCAACCTGAATATTAAGGAGGAATTAACCTGCCACCCCCCAGCTTATCCCAAGCACCCCTCATATTTCATTAATTCCGAAACTGCCCATGGACAAATTGGATCAAAATGAACGAACGTAATTTCCAATAGTTCAAAATTCTGGAAGTGTATTTTTAAAAGCCCGGTATGAATTTTTTTACTGGTTTTTTTGAAAAATAAATTTACATACCGTATTTTTTTATAAACCTGGTATCTTTGGTAATTTTCTGGATTTTTTAAAAGCAAAAAAATGTAACACTACCGCATTTTCCGAAAAGTGTTGTAGTTCACCGGATTTTTTTAAATTTCCGGTAGTGCTAAAAAAAATTTCTGTCGGATATGAACTACCAGCAGTTTTCAAAAAATCCAGAAAATTATACTACCTCTAGTTCTATTTATAAAAAAAGTTTGTTTTTTTAGATACATTGAATAACTAATATAACTGGTCAATATATAGATCAGATACATGTAACTAATAGATCAGATTCAATGCATCTAAAAAGTCATTTTTTTTCTTATAAATAAGATCAGAGGGAGTACCAGATTTTTTGAAAAATCTGATATTTCTTCAAATATTTACCATAAATCAATGATTTTTTACCAGAAAAATCCGGGAAACGCAATAAAAAATCCCAAAAAATTTTAGTATGGGCATAAAGGTAATAGCAGCCCCTATGTGGGGGTGCATGGTATAATTTTGAGGTATAACATGGGTGCTGCATGGTATAATTTTGAGGTATAACCTTAGGGGTGGCAGGTTAAATTAACATCAAGGTAACCCCAATTAAAATGAGAACGAGATTCCCATTGGCTCAGCACATTGCTAACAATACAGGTTATTAAAATTTAGAAAGGCTTACCACTGTCAGACTTTTTCCCTTTATCCAATGCTTCATTTCCAAATGATGTCTCTTCCTTCTTGATTGGTTTTCCAGAAGACTACAAATACACACCGGCTTTAGAGTTGAATTAACGGACTTTAACCCACAGCAATAAAAAAAAAAAGATGCATGAATCAATTCAAGGCTGTAATATGTTGCCGAGAATATCCTTGGTGTGATATCTTAGTTCTTATATACTTTCTACTATTCTAATTTACAGTATGATGTCTAACCAGACACATTGAAAATTAAAATATTCAAATAAGAAACAAAATGAATATATATGGTGCGGAAGGACGAACAAGAAACTGTACTCACAGCCAATAATGTCATTCGGATCTTCCTTTCTTCCTCATCTTGGTCAGCATACTTCTCCTTTATCTTCTTAAGTTTTCCCTTCTGTCCACGGCTGGTTTTTTTACCACCTCCTGTCTTCAAATTTTGAGCATCTTTTGCATGCAGATTACCAGAAATGTCTTTTATTTTTAATTCGTCCTTTCCATGTTCAACACTTGTCTTCAAATTTTGAGCATCTTTTGCATGGAAATTACCAGAAATGTCTTTTGTTTTTAATTCGTCCTTCCCATGTTCAACACTTGGATATGCTTCTACATGTTTCGGTTCATTTTTAAGCTTTCTTCTCTCAGCTTTCGATATATATGGCTTATCCCTTACTGCAGGTTTGCTCGGTTCAATAAAGTGCTCACTGCTTAAATCAACCTGAGTGTTCTCAGCTCCATAACTTTTATTTGATTTGGCAACAGATCCAAGGCCCAGAGCTCGATCAATAAGTTCCTCAAGTTGAGGGGAGACGGATGCTAAGCCATTTCCACCAATGTCAGACAATTTCTCACTATCAAGCATATTCGTTGTACTCGTATCTTTGGCAGAGAAATCATCTGAGACATCAGTTTTGGCATTAATTGTTGTGGGCAAACTATTTTGAGATGAGTCTTTAAGAAAGTCTTCTGTAGGGGGTACGAGTGAACCTGCAGATAAATTACCATTCCTTTCAGAGTCTGCAGCAGATTTTCCATCAGTAACATCCTTCTCAGATTCTGAATCAGATTGTTCTTCAACAGGGCCAGTTTCAACATAATCATCTACTGTTTCCTCCTCTCCTCTTACTCTCCTTTCATTTAAATGTGATCCCAAAGAACTCTCATCCAAGCGAAATAGCAGGCCGAAACCCATGATAAGAGGGTGTGGCGGAAGAAAATTTTTCTTACCCCGTATCATGAAACTCCCTACAGTCAGGTATTCCCCAGTAGGTGCAGTTTTACTAACCTGATGAGGATAAACCCACCAGGCACTGGTAACCATTTTTGAATCCCATGCCTGGCTATGGCAGACCTACATTCAAAGACGAAGATGGAAGTGATTAGCAATTGTGTAATGAAGCTGGTCGATGCAACGCCTTTTATGGCAAGAAGTTTTGAATGGTTACAAACTGCTCCCTGTAAAGTAATATATAAAATAATAAATAGGCCAACATAACATTGCTTTTCCGACAGTGTCTTCCATAAAATATGTTGCTTGGACCAGCATCCATTACAATTTGATTTAGTTCATGAACATAAAAAAAGAATATTTAGATGAAACATAGTATGGAAGAGTGTTGAACATACTGTGAAACATCCTGCTTGGTTTAGGGTCAATGGCGGAACTGGCTGCAAAGGTTTGTGATTCTTGATAACTGTACTAGAAGCTCCATGCAGTTCAGCATGCACATACCTATAATATGAATTAACAGAATGAGAATAAGAAATACTGACATATTTTTTCACTGGCAAGCATTTGTAAAAAAGATATCTGAGTCATGAATTCCAAAATACTAAAGCAATTTTACCATTGAAAATCTTACAGAAGTTTGTAGCGTCACTATTTTTTTGTTTTCAGTTGTCATACCGGGAAAGTTTTAACAATATTGGATTTTATGAGAGAATAAAAAAACTATTTTATTTATTTATTTGAAAAAATAAAAAGAAACTTTGGGAATACGAGAATTATCGCAAAAAGTAAATCATCCTAAACTTGGATACAGAAACTCCTAGAGTTAGGTTTGGGCTAAATACAACTCCACAAGGTGAGACTTGCCTCTTACTTATATCCACTACTCAAGCAATATCATCATCTAATGAGTCTCAGCACCCCCTCATGCCCAGGACCAAATAGCTAGAGTGTGACCAGGTGATTGCATAACTGGTGGCCAAAGAGATATAAGACAGACACTGTCTCAGATAAAGTCTTAGAATTTGGATTAGACCTAATTTAATCCCACAAGACTGGATTGTAAGGTCAAGGTTTCCCTAAACTTATAACAAAGAAAACAATATTACACTTTAGATGAATTTCCAAAAACTCTAAGTAGTAATATTCTTCGGCTTCACATCCTTTCAACACATTATGACAAAACCATTTTACAACAAATAACATGATGAAACCATAACCTCGTGCAAGTTAAGGTGATAATATTCTTAGACATCAACCTCCCCTCTTTTCCATCATAGACTCGCAATAGACTTTCCAACTAGAATGATAATCCCTAATACACAATAGGCATTCTTACTCCAAACAAAAGGAAGCTTCTCGTGAATAACTCAGTTTTGTATTGAACATCATAGGTACCTAGGATTGTGAAGAAACATTCATTTTTTTCTTAATGATGTGTAAAACAATTGTTTCAAATATAAGGTTGTTTTAGAAAGATAACATATTCTTCAAACGATTTGGAGACATTATAAAAAATTGAAGTATCAGTGTATTATTTTCGACATTACTCAATAATTTCTATTATCAGTGTATAAATTCTAGCCACAGGAACAAGGAACGCGGAACAGTATGATACAACAAGAAATACTCACAGATCTCCTTTTGACATATAGCGCTTTACTATCATCTCATTTTGCTGGGCATCGCGTCCACTGATAATTAAATAATTCTCACTGCTAATGAACCAATTAAATTTCTCAAACCAGTGAACTTTGCGCATATGCGAAATTGAGGCAACAGTTTTTTCCTGGATAGAAATTAGTAAAGAAATCAGTATAATTAGTTAGCAGACAAAAAGAAAATCACTAACATATATGAAAAAATAGACAGGAAGCTTGCATAGTTGTGTTTCGCATTGTTTCAGATTATCACATCCAGTGCCAAAAAGCAGATCATTGTCTCACTTTGGGAGATAAGAGTGTGAAGGTTAAGGATGGGACATTCTCAAGTTTAAATATATAACACAACAATGAAAGAAGGGAAGCACGATGGAATCCCTTGAAATTTGGAAATAATCTTTTGTCTAAATGCTAAATGGAGGCCAAAAAGACCATTATATCTCATGTTATAGAAATCTTACATTAAAATTAAGAAAAAAGACAAATTTAAGGAAAAACCTCCACAAGTATTTCCAAATTTCAAGGGATAAGAAATCCCTCTGGGAAAAAATACAAGAAAAAAAGGATAAAACATCACATATGTCAAAAAAATGAGAGGAATCGTTATGAGCTGTTAACATCATCTCTCTTATAGTCAGCAGAAATTAAATTTAACCTTATAATCAATTTGTAGTACAAGTGATAACCATAAATATAACATGGTAATCATGACCCCATAAACTGATGTTGAAGGAAGATGAACTCCTACTCTCCAAAACCTGACTCTGTTTTGTTCTATAAGAATATTACGACTGACAACATATGTACTTTTCTGCAAATTTCTTCATTCAATCCATTTATATGAGATAGCAAAGTGCTAATTAATTACTGTTAAAGCTTATAGTTGTGTTGTTGGAATTTGTTTGACGTCTCACGTTGCTTAGGTTCCCGGGCTGTTGAACATATAAATATGTAAGGGCAACCTCACTCGTAGAGCTAGCTTTTGGGGTTGAGATCCAATCATATTTAACATGGTATCAGAACCGGGTTAAGGACTGCAATGTGGGCATTTGACTCAGACCCCCACTAGATGTGAGGGTGGGTGTTAAAGTTGATAATTGTGTTGTTGGAATTTGTTTGAAGTCCCACATTGCTTAGGTTTCCGGACTGTTGAACATATAAATATGTAAGGGGGCCTCTTAGAGCTAGCTTTTGGAGTTGAGATTCAAGCATATTTTAACAATTACATTTCAATCTGTAAATACAATTTATAACCACCTGACTAAGCTGTAGGCGAGTCTTTCTCTCTGCAGCTTTAAAAGCCTTTTCATGGGCAGTTATAGTCTTTTCCTGTTTGCTCTCCTGTTTTTTCTTCTGTTCGTACCACCTCCGAGCATTGGCATGTGCCGAGAGTGCTAAGTCAACTTCAACCTTGAACACACCCACGTACAACGGTTACTAATGTTATACATCCACGAGGAAAAACAAAAAAAAAATCTACATATTTAAGAAAACAGAAAAACAACCAGTGATGAAAATGACAGTGCAAAATTAAGTTATTGTTAAATTTAATAGTGGTTTATAGACATACAGTACCAGAAAGCATATAGCTGAGTTGTTTCTCCAATCAAACTTTTTGATTCCTTCTCATGTTATATTTGGTTAAAATCATATAATTGTGTAATAATGGTAAATAGATAGTTTAAGAAATACAACTATTTACATGTCTACATATGCGCAACAACCAAGATATCTTGCAGAAGTTGTAGGCCAAGACAATCTAGAGGTAGTAGCATAATGGAAGAACATAAAAAAAAAATTTAATTGAAACTATTAAACTTTTTGGGCAATGTGCAACCTATGCTACACTTTACTACCACATTTAGTTGGAGTGTATTAACACGAACACATATTTCAGGAGGTAACTGCAGCACAGTACTTGATTTGGGATAAAAATAGACGTAAGCTCTCGAGTTTTCGAGGTTTCTATGTTGAGGGATTAGGCAGCTTTGCTCCATTGATTTTATCCTTTTGTATGGTTATTGGTTGCTTTATTTTTTATTCTTTATATTTAGGAGGATTCAATGTTCACCCTTCTCTTTGTAACTATTGCTATTTTATCCCGACGAATTTCTAATTGCATCTAAAAATAAATAAAGACATTAAAAACCTTATCAGCAGGCAGTGTCTTCTCATCATCATCCATTTCATCGAGATTGTTGCTTAACAGTATAGTCATGCAATTCCTTTCAAGATGGAGCTTGTCGATAAGACCAGCTACTGGATTTCCAGCTTTCTTTTCTTCCTTCACCATCCGAGCAAGGTCATCCCAACTCATACCCTTAGCAAGAGATACACGAACAGCTAATATAGCAGCATCCACGTCTTCTAAGTTATATTCTATCAATTCTGCCATTTTAATACAGTGATCAGCTTCTTTCCTCAAAGTGTGAACTCGATTTTCCTATACCACAGAAAGAAAGAAAAATCATTTTGTATAACACGCATGCACTGTTGAGTATCAACTATCAACAATAATAGAACCAAAAAAAAGTCTCATCAAACTCACATGAATACTTCAGGTTTTGTTACCTGTGTGTATTATTACAAAAAACTATGGATATAATTTGAAGGTTCCAAATTGTTCAGTTTATTTTCCAACTATACAAGTATAATAGTTTGGAGATGGCCCATGGGTACCAACCTGATCGTTGCGTATCTTACTAAGTTTCTGAAGAGCTGAGTTTTCTTTGGCCTTGTGCTGTTGTTCAGACCTTTGACTCTCAATTTTGCTGTAGAATTCATCCAAAGCTGCGTCAAATGTCTCAAACTTTGTATGATCCCTTGATTTAAACTGGTTAAGTAAAATGGGGCAGAACTCATCATAGATCTGCATTGAATAGCACATGAATGTAAACGATGAGTATCACAGGATCATATGAGCATGCAATTCTGTCCCTTATTTGCATTCTCTTCATATTCATGATGCCACTAAGATTATAGAGAAGTAGAAAATAACCTGTTTAACACTTTCTGGTTGTGATATAGAAGAATCCTTCCCCAAATTTTTGTTTTGCATCAAGATGTATCCTTCAGGAACTAGTTCACCTAAAATGATATCCTGCATCCAATCTTCAAACCTTGCAACAGCTTGAACCAAAGCCTGAATAGTGGTATCATCCCAAGTTTTATCTTTGGGCACTTTTTCACTGGGAACCAAACCAGCATCTAATATCATATGTTCAGAAAGTGCAGGTCCATAACCGAGTGCCTCCCCAAGAACAATTTTTAAAGTGGCATGTGACTTCCCACCTTTTCGGAGTCCCTGTTTCTCTCTCTCTACATTAGAAACATCAGTTCCATTTCCATTGGACTTAACAGCCTCATCATTGTCACCTTCTTTCGAAGACATCAGGGCTGTCTGCAGCTTTGTTGTTGTTGTTCGTTCAAAAATTCTACAACTTTCCATAGGATAACGATGGCGTGACATGATTGCAAACCCCTTATCATCATCCCTGTTATAGATAAATTGCTATAACATATAAATTAAATTAAATACAGATCACACAAGTCTAGTCTCATTTAAAAAAGGCATACTTTGGCATAACATAGAGCATAATATGCCAAGCCAGTTAGCACAATAAGGCATGAGGAAAAAATCCAGCCCAACAACTGTACCACATATGAAATCAACAAGACAATTTCCTAATCTTCCATAAGTATACTTATTTTCTCTCTAAACAAATTTTTTCATAAACTAAACATATAAAGTAAAAATCCTATCATTGTTATTAAGTTAGATAAAAATAAAAAAGATAAGCAAATTTTTTGTTTGTGTTTGCATTTTATACAACATGCATAGAGAACAAACTGAAACTATGCATAACCGAAAACAGTAGTAACCTGTGAGATCGAAGCAGAGTCATGACAGTGAAACTAGAATCCGTGAGGATGATGTTGCCTTGAGCATATAGCTCTAATATAACATAGTTTGCATTCTCCCCAAGTCCAAATTGAAAAAGAACAATCTGTAACAAATTTTCAAATAAAAATTAAAACAATTACTCACAATCTAACAATAATAACTAACAGGTGAAACAAAAGATGGCTCAAATTGAAAGCTATACCCGATCGTACCCAAGTTGCCGCACATCCTCGAGCCTTCTAGTTCGAATATGTTTCCTCAACTTAAGTGTAAAACCAGAAGGTGTGTTGCTTTTGTCACTATAAACACCATAAACAATCTATTCAAATTATAATTCTTCAACATTCACAACACTTTGATGTGTTCATTTGATAAAAGATAAAAGAAATAAGTGTATGATTGGTTTAACGGTTGAAAGATCCAAAAGCAATTCTAGAGATATAGAATTGAGTTTGGAATGATTCTGAGGTGTTTGGTTCTTTGTATTGATTTTGTCTCCAGAATTCTACTTGAATCTAAAATTTGTAGCGTTTGAGTTTAATTATGATTTTTACACTGACATTTGTTATTTAAGTCACTTTCGCATAAATGAATCCAAACCTAAATCATTTACATCCAACTCACTTTTTTACCAAACTCAATTCTAAAAATATCAATTCACTCGGAATCAATTCTTGTATCGCAGAACCAAACATATAGTAAGATAAAACTATAGGATATAGTAATGATTACCGCATATACACAGTAGTATGCAATCTAACACCACTTTCCATGAGTAGCAAAACCTTCTCGCTCTCGCCGGATTCCGACACTCCACTGCTGTTCATTAGCTTGAAAACGTACGTCTGAAAAAAAGCATTAAAAAAGGAGAAACAGATTAACTTTTGCGTTTGAGATTGCAATTGCAATCGCGATTGTAAAATTAAGTTGAAAAGAGATTAAGGTAAGGTAGTGCCTTGGGAGTGAGATCATAGACATTGGAGCATCGCATTCCGATTAGCCTCCGGAGACATTTGACTTCGGCGGCCACATCGGCGGTGTTCATACGCACCTTCACCATCGCTCTCTGTGACGATGATACTGTGAATTTGTTAGGGTTTGGTTTTCAGTTTGTGAAATGAGAAAGAGGAGGAGGAGGAGAAAAGAAGAAAAATAGTTTACGTAATTGTTTTATTTTTATTTTAATGTAAGTGACTCATTTATTAGAGGGGATAATTACTCTTATTAACCGAAGGTTAAAGGATTCATATTCTTTTTTCAAAATCGCTGATCAGATGTTAGAAATTGATTGTAGTGAGAAGTCTTTCTTGGCTGAGAAGCAAGTTTTGTGGGAGTAAGATTCTTATCCAATATGTTTATTAGTTTATTAGTGAAATTCTAAAAAATAAATATTAATCTCGTAGCTTTTAAGCAACTCTTCTAATCTTTGATAATTTTCAATCGGGTCTTGTTAAGGGTTGGCGCATTAATGTCGAGAATACGCTGCTTGAAAGGTAACTTGATCTAGATGTGGAGTCTAGTTTGCATTTTATGGTAAAAAAATTTATTCTTTAAATAAGAGGAGGTGGTCAAGATCTTAAGCAGCTCGACGCATCTAGTTTTGTTCTTGCTAACGGACAATAAAAGGATATTGGCATTCTCATTTAAAGCAGAGAAGACGACCCCACAGAGATTTACATGGCCTCGCCATACAGTCTATTGATTATCCATATAAAGTATTATGCAAGCTTCTGGGACAGGTCGCCTCTTATTTCATTGTATATATAATGGAATAGATAGTTCGGGTTGATCACTAGTCTTTTAATCCATAAAAATCTCATAAATACCTACATTGGCATATTTCATTGAAAATGTGTATGGTGGGTAAGAATAAGAATGAACAAAAGGATGAGTCTATTAGATTAAGGGGAAGGAAGGGTAGACATCGACCTAGTTAGTCGTTCTGAGTGAAGATGAGGAGGTTCTTGGACTAGTTTTTCATGTATATAAATAATAAGGCTCACTCTTAGAAAGGGTAGTTTCTCTGGTCTATATGTTCCTATGTGTGAAAACGAGTATGTGAATAGAACATCTTTCAAACACCGAGATTGGGTTGGCGGTCAGTAAGGAAAGTTGGGTGTGGCGATCCGATTAACGAAAATAAATCCTGGAGTTACATATATAATGACAGAAAGAATCGTTCAGTAGGCTAATCTTGACAATTTCCATTTTCGATCGAGAAAACGGCAAGCCTAAAGAATTCTACAGTAGTGTCTTCTTGCTTGATCTCAATAATTTTGCTTTTACACGGGAACAAAGACTTTCTAGAACAAATATTAAACCTTCACTCTTTTCCAAGATAGTATAAATGAAGTTCTTAGTGCTACCTAGTCGTGTTTAGATGGAGAATCTATTATATGATATAAGTTTTCGCTTCATTTGAGTGGCTACGTACTTGTTGTAACACTCTTCTAAACCCCAAGAATTTTTTTTGTGAATAATTAACAAATATTCAAGCACAAATCACCAACAAGGGCGTCACATCTTCATATAAAATATCATAACAATACACCCTGCTTCGCAACACAGATTTTCAACCATCACTAAAACATTTATCTCTTTGAATATATCATCAAGCACTTTAAACACTGTAGCGAAAATTATAGTCTTAAAACATATTTATTAAATACTTCAAATAAAATACCATCACGCTTCGTGACTTATAAGCCATGCTCAAAACATCTTAATAAACAAACCAAAATATCTCAATGCATAATGCCAACAAAGAAAAAGGTTATATTCAAACGAATCCCAAATACCCCGATGTTACATATCAGAGCAAGATCCTTTTTATTCAATCGACTCACACAAAAGACTTCGAGTTATCCTCACGCTACTACGAACTAATCTCGATCACCTACGTGTTACCCACGTGGAGGCAACATTCAAACAAAAAGGATGAGTAAATCATAATCATTATAAAAAGCATAAGTAATAGATATAGTAGTTATAGCATGGTTACCATACAATAACATGGCATCCTATAGCTCTTCTCGTCAAAACACCATTATTCAATAGTCAGTCAAATACAACATTTAATTCATATATTATGCAATACCACCAATAATGAAATGCAACTTTACTAGACTCGTGCATGTGGTACCGAAACATCACTGATGATTTAATTATCGTTATCTCCAAAGATCCCCACCAATAGGATCAGTTCCCGCTTAGAACCAGAGCACATCATAAAATGCACTTAATCTACACTATGGGATTATGGCCATCAATGGACGGAAGCATCCTACAAACTTCATTGGATTATTATCCTGCTAAATATCACTGGACTATTGGTCATAACAAATGCTATGAATGCATGATGCGCAACAACACATAAAAATACGACCACGGCTAGTCAAAAATACATCATCAACCATCATAATCATAATGTTCTCTTCACAGCATCATAACGCATACATCATAGTCAAACACGACGTCATTTTATCATATGAATAGCAAACAATTCACTTCAAGACATAAATCACAAAAATTCATACAGTAAGGTATACATATTGTTGGTTCAGCATAAAATCTTGTCACTTAATCATGACACAATCACTAGATAATCACATTATATACTTACTATTATTTTACTAGAGTTTAGATCATTGTGTTAACTTTCTAATGCTTCAAACGGCACCTAAAACAGACTCCTGGTTCAAAAGTTATGACCATTTTAAGAAAAACTATTTCCTGCTAACTGTTGCGACGAGCGCCACAACTCGATGGCCCCGTCACGCCCTCCACACACCTTATTTCAACTGGCACACCCCCTATGCTGACTGGAACACCCTATGGTGCCCGTCATAAGTTCCTGACGACCACCATTCACATAAATGTTGCAGTTCAATATTTTTCACATTTGCAAGCCTTCCAGACCTCAAAATTTGATTCCGTAAAAAGCCTCAATCTCAGAATTAGAAATCCTACAATTGTATAGTATTTATAAAAACCTATAACACTTATTTATTCATCATGGTTATCAATATATTGTAACATCATACTATCAAATCATCAATTCTTATCACAGCAACACATCATCATGAACCGAAAACCCCAAACACAATTCTTACAATTATCTAACACTTAGACCAATTATAATAATCATGATAGACTCCCCTCACCTTAGATTATTTCTTGTTATTGAATTCTCTTCGCGTCCTTCTGGTCCTTTTATGTTCTCCTCAAAGCCCTATCTATTTGCCTTTTCTCTCTGCCTCTTTTCCAAACGAATGCATATAATGAATTTGGCAAAACTGTTTTCTCCTTATGTAACCCTTTGACCTCAAATATGGTATTTATTGCACCCCAAAATTTACCCTCTTGATTTAGGCTTATATTTCATCATGAATATCATATTACATTGCATTCATACATTGTGATGGGGTCAAAGTACTTTGGTTATCAAGTCTTCCTTAAGCTTTGAAGGTTGGTTGCTTTGACAAGTTGCTCAAGTAGAACCTTGTCATTTGAACCTCTGGATCTTTCAAGTTCAGATTTAATTGCATATCTCAATATGTTTCATCCATCTCTTTGGATCTCCAGAGGATTGGAGTTTGTGTTTGATTATGTGAAGGAACCACTCCTTTGATTCACCAGTCAAATTGGGGTTTTGAAGCTTGACCAGCTATCTCTAAGCACCTTGGTTGTGTATTTTGTTTATGTGTTGTTGACTAACTTCTAATCAAAATACAAAAAAAAAATATTTGTCTTTGTCTTTGCACAATTTCTATTTTGTAGGTACCAAGTCGAAGCATCTGACAAATAAGGATTTCTGAGGTTTGTGTCGAGCTCAGGCAAAGCAATCATTTATGTATTGTGTCGAAAGGCAGCTTGTATTGATCCATAAAGCTTGTGCCGAACTCATGAAAGTTGATTTGATTCTGTTTGTGGCAAAAGAAGGCACGCATCGACCCATAAAGGTATGCATCAACCCACAAAGGTATGCATCAACCCATAAACCTATGTATCGATTCATCTTGTTCAGCATAACTAGCATGTATCGACACATGCATGTATGTATTGACTCATCCAGTTTTGAATAACTTGCATGTGTCGACACATGCATGTATGCATCGACTCATCCTGTTTGAATAACTTGCATGTGTCGACACATACGTGTTATGTATCGACTCATGCAGTTTGTGTAACTCTGTAATGTGTTGAAGAAGCAATATGTATCGACACATAAAGGCATGTATCGACACATGCTGTGTTATATTGCTAGAATGTGTCGACGCATACCACCCATGTATCGACTCATAACAGCAAAATACACGTGTTTTTTTTTTAAAAAGCCAGCAATTTCAAAACTGTCTTATTTTTGCCTCCAATTTTTTCTGCATGATTTGAAAATTATATCATTAATTCAATTTTTGGCTCCAAGAATCAATTACCAAATTACCACTGATCCCAATCCTAAAACTCTATAAATAGAGCCCTCATTTCATTCAAATTTCAAGCTTTTGATAGCCAAAATCACTTTGCTAAAAAATCTCTCAATTCTCCCCATCTACCAAATTCACTCAAAGCTCCATTTTTAAAAAGTTAGTAAGCTTTGCATTGAAGCTTGCTAATCTTTGAGCTAAACCTTCATCCAAATACTTTTTCTCCAACAATTCTCTACATCCAAGCTTTGATAATTGATTCTTGTGGTTGAATTGAAGCAAATTCCGAAGTTGTTTGATAATTCTCAAATTCTACCTTTGGTAAGTTGGATCATCATCTTTCACAATGTGATCTCTTATGGATTTCTGGTTTTGATTCATTGAGCACTGTTTTTATGATTCCATTAGTGCTATTTTCTCATAATTTGATGGAATTTTCATGTTCAATTGGATTCATGATCATAAGGTGTTTGATGAAAAGTTGGAACAAGAATTTGATCTTTGAAATACTATTTTCTACTGATTTTAACAGGTTGCAATCAATTATTGCAACATTGCAATTGATTGTCACAGAAAATTGATTTGATAAAAAACTGCACCAATGCAATAGGTTGCTGTCTAAGCACAATTGATT